AAGTAATATAAACAGTAGATATTTAAAATAAAATTTTAAAAAATCTTGAATAATAATCATTTCAGAAAAACTATATTTCAGAAAAATTATGAAAATTAACATTAAATTTTTCTTTCTTTTTTCTTTAATATGTTGTTATAAATGGATCAAGAAAAAGTTAGAAAGCCACCATTTTTCTTCCAACGTAGATTCTATTTATCCTCCAGTTGGCACGTGTATTAAACTACTATTTATTGCTCTTAAACAAAAAGGAATGACAGGATTTTTATTAGATCCATTCCATGGGGGGGAAAAGTAGGGAAAAGCCTTTCCAATTGCATGTTAAATACAATGATGAATTACATCAACCACTCATCTGGTTTTACAATGAACTCTATCTCCTCTCTTACTCTCGAAAAGTTATTAGGTGGTCTTGGGACATTACGTGACAATACTCTTACCAATTACCAAATACCAAATCTCTTCTTCTTTCCAATCACCCATTACCAAATCATGGCCATCTCCCTCCACTAATTACAACACTTTTGTGATACCACCCGACCATGTCCTAGTATCACCAAATAACTTCTCCTCAGACTCCCCCTTCTTACCCGATGATGATGATGAGGAGGAGGAACTTTGTGCAGCCCTGCCAATTTCGATTCCGAAGCCAATTACATTTTCTCTGACTTGCGTTGTTCATTGTTCATAGCTATAAATCCAGATCTAGGGTTTTGAAATACAGAAACAGAGAGAGACAAAGATGTAGAGGGAGAAAGTGATCGAATTTAAGCGGGGGAGAGATTACCTTTGTCAGTTGGGTCGCCTGATTTCTTTTCAGCAGCAAGATCTGAATCTTCTGTTACAAACCCAAAAAACTTAATCAGTTGTAGGAAGAGTTATATAATATGATAATCCAATCCACAAAACAGAGAGAGAGAGAGAGAGAGAGAGAGAGGTTTTACTTTCGGGTATGGCAAGGGTTTTGAAGAGAGAGAGGATTGGGACCAAACTTTTCTCATATGGTGCGGCCGTCGGATTAGCTTCCGATTCAACTTTCATGTTTGCTGGGAATCATCGGCCACTGAGACTCTGCTTCTGCTGCTGCTGCTCATCTGAAGAAGACATAAAGATTTAGCAGATCTTATTTAAGTAGCCAATAATAGAACTATTGGCAGAAAATTAAAAAGAAAAGGTTTCAAATCAAGCCCCAAACATGAAGAATGAATGAAAGCATTGAAATGTTCAACCAACACATTTTATATTTAGAAACATTTAGATATTCACATAAAACATTACGTTGTTAATTGACACTTACCAACATGGGAAGGAAGAACGGTGATGTGAGGATGTGAATGGTACCAACCAATTACTCTAGTTGGTATATAGTTAATCGCACAAAGCCGTGTTGTTGAAATGACACTTATCGACTTCTAGAGTAATCGCAAGAAGGTAAATAGAAAATAAATAAACAAATAATTTTGTAAAATCCTGAAATGACCAATATAAACCTGTTTCAAATTCTATATATAAAGACTATAAATAGAATGAAGTCAGTCTCGTGCAATTTCTAAAAGTGCTAACATACTTACAAAAGCTGTGTTATTGAAGCATATGCCACCAAAGGAGTGACATAACCAGATGTCATTGTGGAAGTCGTACATATCGAGCATCAAACCTCTAACACCATTCTGCGAGGGGACCATTTTCAAAATAGAAAGTCATTTGAAGTGTTTGTAAACTAAAGCATCAGATTAACCAATCTACAATAAATTGTATCCTATCAAGAGCAGGTCAATCTGTTCACAGTTGCAGTAAACATCATCATTAAAATGAAAAGGAAATAATTGAAATTATTAAAAAGATTAAAGCTTTCATAATATTTGCATTGAAGTCAAGAGTACTACTGTGAAAGTATGCTCATTGTCCTGGAGACGATACCCAAAGAAAAATCCTGGTCATATGATCTTTGGCAGATACGTGCAGCATTTGAAATGAATCCATATGAAACATGATTGATCAGGAAACACTTGTAAAATTACAATGAAAAATGAAACTCTTGTAAACTCATTTATTCTAGTTGTATTGTGTTACCGACTACAATTATGCAGGTATAGGTATTGTTTCTGGGTCTAAATCAATGCAATATAATTAAAATTTCAATTGTTTCTGGGTCTAAATCAATGCAATATAATTAAAATTTCAAAATCAAATTAATATAAACAGTAGATATTTAAAATAAAATTTAAAAAAATCTTGAATAATAATCATGAGGAAAAACTATATTTCAGAAAAATTATGAAAATTAACATTAAATTTTTCTTTCTTTTTTCTTTAATATGTTATTATAAATGGATTAAGAAAAAGTTAGAAAGCCACCATTTTTCTTCCAACGTAGATTCTATTTATCCTCCAGTTGGCACGTGTATTAAACTACTATTTATTGCTCTTAAACAAAACGGAATGACAGGATTTTTATTAGATCCATTCCATGGGGGGAAAAAAGTAGGGAAAAGCCTTTCCAATTGCATGTTAAATACAATGATGAATTACATCAACCACTCATCTGGTTTTACAATGAACTCTATCTCCTCTCTTACTCTCGAAAAGTTATTAGGTGGTCTTGGGACATTACGTGACAATACTCTTACCAATTACCAAATACCAAATCTCTTCTTCTTTCCAATCACCCATTACCAAATCATGGCCATCTCCCTCCACTAATTACAACACTTTTGTGATACCACCCGACCATGTCCTAGTATCACCAAATAACTTCTCCTCAGACTCCCACTCCTTACCCGATGATGATGATGAGGAGGGGGAACTTCGTGCAGCCCTGCCAATTTCGATTCCGAAGCCAATTACATTTTCTCTGACTTGCGTTGTTCATTGTTCATTGCTAGAAATCCAGATCTAGGGTTTCGAAATACAAAAACAGAGAGAGACAGAGAAGTAAAGGGAGAAAGTGATTGAATTTAAGCGAGGGAGAGATTACCTTTGTTAGTTGGGTCGCCTGATTTCTTTTCAGTAGCAAGATTTGAATCTTCTGTTACAAACCCAAAAAACTTAATCGGTTGCAGGGAGAGTTATATAATATGATAATCCAATCCACAAAACAGAGAGAGAGAGGCTTTACTTTCGGGTATGGCAAGGGTTTTGGAAAGAGAGAGGATTGGGACCAAACTTTTCTCATATGGTGCGGCCGTCGGATTAGCTTCCGATTCAACTTTCATGTTTGCTGGGAATCATCGGCCACTAAGACTCTGCTTCTGCTGATGCTGCTCTCTCTCTTTCGCCTATCGTTGAGGAGGAAGAGGGTCTGTTAAAGCAGAATAACAAAGAGTGAGAGAGAGATAAGAGGGACAGTTGCGGGAGAGAGAGAGGCAGTTGTAGAGACGTGTTTGGGCATACGTGGGAGAGAGAGAGAGAGCAGAGAAGGTTTGAGCGGGAATCAAATTGATCTGCACCCTTAATATATTTGTAGGATTGATCTGAGCCTTTAAATCTAAATGTATCTCACATACATTTTATACATTTTCAAAAAGCTTCCTCCCTTATTATATAGATATATATACTGTTTTGGTTTTTTGTAATCAAACAGTCTCTCTCCTTTCTTTAATTCTTTCTCTAAATACATTGAAGATTGTCCTATACGAACAATATTGAATTTAAAAGTTGTTAAATTGAGGGAGTCAGTGGGTTTGGCTTGGGGTCGATTTGATGGAGTATTTGAATTGCATGGAGTATTTAATTTCAACTGTGATTGATTTGGGTTGGATTAGATTATTGTCACGTTTTATAAATTGAAAATTGATAATCAAAAAGTAAAAGTTAAAAATATTTTTCACTTAACTTTCAGAGAATTAATTTTTTTTAACTTATTTAAGTTATTTTTATTCTATTAAGTTGTAGGTAAAAACTGTACTAAACAATTTGACACAGATTTTATAATAAAAATAAATCTATAACCATTTCAGAAGGCAGTCTTTTTATATTGAGAAGTGTCTTCAGGCACAGGTTATTCGCTAGGCACAGATAAATCAACAACCTCTTATCTTTTGTCACCAATAGTTTGTTTGGATTTTATCAAATCTGACCTTCTTTTTCTTTTTCTTTTTTGTATGGTATTTTTTTTAAACGGGTTTTTTTTTCTTTAGCCTTCTATGAGGAATCACATATATGTTAAACACGAAAAAAGTGTTGAAGTGTGAATGTGATAATTGTTGGTAGTTAGTTTGATAATCACATTTTTTTTATTGAAAGTTATCCCATATATGTGCCAATTTAACTTGGACATCTTTGCTTGTGCCATTTTAACGTGGATATCTTTGCCGGTAGTGCTACACACATCAATTGGTGTACCAATTAGTTTACCAATATATGCTATGACATTGTTACTTCAAAATTATGTCGCCACCCATTATACAAATTACAAAGACTGAAAGCCTTTAAAATTAAGTCACATCATCTGTTAGTATACTAATTGGTATACCAATTTGTGCATATAGGATTATTCTATCTTTGCTTATGCTAAACATAGTAACATTTTTATTTCTAAAATTTGCTCTTTAAACTTTAATTATGAAGTTTACTAAAAGGCATCTTATGTGTAAAGTTTTATATTGCGGTAAAATTATTGTCATTTTGGGTTAATTTATTACAACTGAGTTCTGTAGCGCAGTAAAATTATTGATTTATTTTAATTAATTTTTATAGAGTACGTGATACTAAAAAAATTTGCTCAAAGTGCCTTTAAGTACAAGTTATCCCTAATATATGAACATAGGGGAGGGTATTGACAATTTCGTATCACAAAACATGTCTCAAAAGGAAGCACCTTTTATAATAGTAGTAAAAGCTTTATACAATACAAGTAAATTAGCCATTAAGAGAGAACCGAATAATAACAATAGAAGTCTCATTAAGGACAGTGAAATCAGTTTGACTCATCCGTGGTACATTATTTGATGCACTATTGTAATTTGAAAGTGCGCAAACAATGCATAGGCAATTCCATAATGAGAGAACCCACTATGAAGCCTCGATATTTGACAAGTTTTGTATTTGATACAGAAGAAAATTCTGCTGCAATGACAATTGTAAAACGAAGAAGACAACACAGGACGTTCAATAGGCTCAAGCAGCTAACACACCCATACACCTGAGAATCCCTTTCTTCTCATGCACTAAATCTCAATTTGTTGTATAATTTTGGCTTTGTAATTCAGAAAAAAGTAAAATAAAAAAAATATTAACAACAACAAATAAGGCTAGAAGAATAAAAGTGGCAGTCAACCGGAAGGAGAGTCGCCACTGTTTTAATAAATAAAAACGCAAAAAACAGTAGTAATCTAGTGTGTTTGATGTAAAAAAATTATTAGTCAAAAAATAAAACAAAATTTAACTCTAAAACAAAACAAAAAACCAAACAAAAGAAAGAAAGAAAAGAAGTTGCATTCCATTTGGAAAGGGGCTGCAGAGAGAGAGAGAGAGAGAGAAGAAGAAGAAGAAGGTTTCTTTGTTTGAGAATTTTTTGTTTTCCTTCACCAAAACGACATCAATTTTAATAAAAGAAAAATATGTAATTCACCCCTTAAGTGAGACACATGTCGCCCCTTCATCATTTCACTTCACAATCACTTCATGCATATCACTCTAGAGGATCTGAGCACACTAACAAGAGTCTATATTTGCCAAACATACATAAAGTCATGTATCACAAGAGTTAATATGTTAGATTACAACTAATGTCGATATAATATGCGTCACTATTTTATAATAACTTATAATGTATTTTCATTCAGAAAGGAATGAAAGAGTACTGCATGCTGAAATTATGTTAAAATCATAAAAACTAAACTTGTCATACCAATTCAACAATTCATCTGGAGCTTTTGGTAACTCTTACTTTTCTACTCTGGCAATTCCTCTTTTAAGCATTACATCTTTACTTGTTAAAATTAGATCTATATCATATTTTTTTTTTCTAAAAAGTAAATTACAAATACACCCCTTGAGTTTTATTTAAAGTACAGATTGTCTCCTGTGGTTTGAAAAATTACAAATACCCTCTTGTTAGAATTTTTTATTTAATAGAATTAACTAAACTATGATGCCCTCAAAATAATAACATTAAACCCATCAAATAAAACATTCATTGACATACGAAATATCCACATTCTTTTTATTCATCAGAGCATTACATCTTTACTTGTTAAAATTAAATCTATATCATATTTTTTTTTCTAAAAAATAAATTACAAATACACCCCTTGAGTTTTATTTAAAGTACAGATTGTCTCCTGTGGTTTGAAAAATTACAAATACCCTCTTGTTAGAATTTTTTATTTAATAGAATTAACAAAACATTGAAATGCATAATTGCTCTCCTATACAATAATAAAATTATTCAAATTATTAATCGAAATATATTTCTAACATCATCAAAAACTGTTAATTAACTTGATGATTTATTAATAAAAAGGGCGATTTGTTATAAAATTAGAAACCTCAGGGGTGGAATGTAATTTTCAGAACCACAAGAGCGATTCGTATTTTAATCAAATTTCAGGAGTGTATTTGTAATTTACCCTTTTCTAAAAGACCAAATTAAATGAAATTGTGTAGTTACGATTAGGGTGAAGTACCAATCACCTTGCTTGGTTTCCAGTTTTTCAAAACACTTTTTAGAAAATTCTACTTTCTTATTTTTCTTGTTTTTTTGTTTTTACTGAATTTTTTTAATATTTTAAGCAATTTTTTTACTTTTTGGACACACCTAACATAAATACACCTAAAAAGTAAAAAAATTGTAAAAAAAATCTTTTAAAAATTCACTAAATACCAAAAATACAAAAAAAAAAAAAATACAAGAATTCAGTACATTTTTTGTATTTTTATGTATTTATTAATTTTTTAAAATATTTTTTCACAAATTTTTTACTTTTTAGATACATCTAAGTAAGGTGCATCTAAAAAAGTAAAAAAAAATGTTTAAAATTTAAAAAATATTCACTAAAAACAAAAGAAGAAGAGAGATGTGTTTTGGTTTTTTTGAATCAAGACAGTCTCTCTCCTTTCTTTAATTCTTTCTCTAAATACATGAAGATTGTCCCTAATACGAACAATATTGAATTTAAAAGTTGTTAAATTGAGGGAGTCAGTGGGTGTGGCTTTGGGGTCGAGTTTGATGGAGATTTGAATTGCATGGAGGTAATTCTTTAATTTAACTGTGATTGATTTGGGTTGGCATTAGATTATTCGTCACGTTTTTTAAATTGAAAATTGTATAATTCAGAAAGTGTAAAAGTAAATAATATTTTTCACTTAACTTTCAGAGAGATTAATTTTTTTACATTGATTTATGAGCTTATTTTTATCTATTTAAGATTTTTTGTACGGTAAAAACTGTACTAAACAATTGTGACCAGCAGATTTTATAATAAAAAAAATCTATATACCAGTTTCAGAAGGCAGCTTTTTTCTATTGAGAATTGTCTTCAAAGGCAGCAAGGTTATTTGCTAGCACTAGATAGAATCAAGTAACCTCTTAATCTTTTGTCACCGAATAGTTGTGTTTGGATTCTTATCATTAATCTGACGCTTCTTTTTCTTTTTTCTTTTTGTATGTATTTTTTTTTTAAAATCTGGGTTTTTTTCTTTATCCTTCTAGGAGGAATCACATATATCGTAGAACACGAAAAAAGTGTTGAAGTGTGAATGTGATAATGTTGGTAGTTATGTTTGATAATCAATAATTTTTTTATTAAGTTATTCCATATATGTGCCAAATTTAACTTGGACATCTTTGGCTTGTGCCATTTTTAACGTGATACTTTGCGTATGCTCACACACATCAATGTTGGTGTCCAATTAGTTTACCATATATGCTAGACATTGTTACTTACTTTCAAATATTATGTCGCACCCATTATACAGAAGTACAAAGACTGAAAGCCTTAAAAGTAAGTCACATCAATCTGCTTAGTATACTAATTGGTATACAAATTTGGTGGCTATAAGGATTATTTCTATCGTTTGCTATTGCTAAACATAGTAACATTTTATTTCTAAAATTTGCTTCTTGTAAACTTTAATTATGAAGTATTTTTTTTTTTTTTTTTTTTTTTTTTTTTTTTTTTTTTTTTTTTTTTTTTTTTTTTTACTAAAAGGCATCCTTTAATGTGATGAAGCAGTTTTAAATTCGCGGTAAAATTATTGTCAGTTTTGGGTAATGATTATTACACACTAGACTTCTGTACGGTCAGTAAACATTATTGACCTTATTCTTAATTAATTTTGTATAGAGGTCGTGATAAAAAACAACTTTGCCAAGTGCCTTTTAAGTACAAGTTACTCCCTAATATATCGTAACATAGGGAGCGAATGTGACACAATTTCTATCACAAGCAAACACTGTCTCAAAAGAGAAGCCACCTTTTTTATAATAGTATAAAAAGCTTATAACAAATAAGATGAAATTAAGTCCATAAAGAGAACCGAATAATAACAATACGAAGTCTCATTAAGAAGGCAGTGAAAATCTACTCTGGAGCTCATCCCGTGGTCACGATCCTCAGTCTGAGTGCCACTATTCGTAATTGCTGAGATGGCAACATACTGCATAGGCAATGTCCCATCAATGAGAGAAGCCCTCAACTATGAAGCCTTCGATATTTGAAAAGTTTTCAGTTGATATACATGAATAAAACTTTGCTGCACCATCAACAATCTGTAAAACAGAAGAAGACAACACAGGAGTTCAATTAGGCTCAAGCAAGCTAAACACATTCATACACCTGAGAAATCCCTTTCTTCTCAATTGCTAACTAAATCTTCAATTTGGTTTATAATTTGGCTTTGTAATCGTCAGTGCCAAATAAAGTAAAATAACCAAAAAAATATAACAACAACAAATAAAGGCTAGATTAATATACATAAGCTCAGTCCAACCGGAAGGCAGAAGTCGCGCCATGTTTAATAACATAAAAACGCAAAAACATAGTAATCTAGCTGTGTTTGAAATGTATAATATAAAATATAGTCAAAAAATAACAAAACTTTCTGCTAAACTCTAACAACAAAACAAAAAAACCAACAATAAAAAGAAAAGCCAAAAGAAGTGGCATTCCATTTGGAAAGAGGCTGAGAGAGAGTAAGAGCACGAGAGAGAAGAGAAAAACAGAAAAAAGAAAAGAGAAGATTTCTTTGTTGAGAATTTCTTTGTGTGTTTCCTTCACCAGCAAAATCGAGACATCAATTTTAACTAAAAGAAAAATACCATGTAATTCCTCCTTAAGGGACACAGTGCCCCCTTCATCATTTCCACTTCCAACACTTCATTGCATATTTCACTCTAGGGATCTGAGCACACTAACAAGAGTCTTGATATTGCCAAAACATACATAAAGATCGACTCGTATCATCACAGAACTTAATTCAGTTCGTGAATAACAATACTAATGGTCGATAATAGCGAAATTCCTGTTCTTAAAGAATATTAGTATAGGTGTTTTCATATCAGCCAAAGGAATGAATAGACGGTAGCAATGCTTATGAACATATCCGTGAAAATCATAAAATAATACTTGTCATACTCAACCAATCTCAACAATTCATCTGGACGTTTTGGTAACTCTCACCTTCTACTACGCAAGGCTCCTCTTTGTAAGGCATTACATCTTTACTTGTAAAAATTAAATTATATCATCATTTTTTCTAAAATATTTTATAAATTACAAATACACCCTTGATTCTTTATCTTAAAGTAGCAGACTTGTTCCCGTGTTGGTTTGAAAAATTACAAATACCCTCTTGTTAGAATTTTTTCATTTAATAGAAATAACTAAACTCTATGAATGCCTCTCAAATAATAACATTTAAACCCTATCAAATAAAACATGTCATTGACATAACGAAATATCCAATTCTTTTTATCATCAGAGTTTCATTAGCAAAAGTAAATACATGTTAACAAACAAAAGCAAAATGCCCTACGGGCTTACAGTCTTTCCAAGTTAACACTTGTTACAACAAAAGAGTACTCAACTCATCTACACATTGATAGTCCCTCGCTGAATATACATGTAATTCAGATAAAAAGGAACTGAAGGAACAACAAAAATTCTCCCGCCTCTAAGCCTCCCAAACTTGACCTTGGAGGTGGCAGCTACCTGTACCTGAAATGATATGCCATAAGGGTGAGCCACAGCCCAGTATGGAAATAACACTAAACCAACCATGGACAATGACTAAAAAGATTATGCAATTTGATAGATGGCCAACACGATACATCCAACATAAATAATTTTATGTCATACGATCTTATGAGTCCATTAGTTACTTTTCATTTTCCCTTTTCAAACAGATAAACATAGTTATGCATCTATCACATCTCAACAAACTATGTATAAACATTATGCCCACATTCACAAGATAAGAAATAGAGCTATTCCACATTCAACAGAATAATGTATAACACTATATCCCACATTCACAAGATAAGCAATGTAGCTGTACTACACTTCACAGAAGATAAGCATAATTGAGCTCTATCTCACTTCTCATAGACAAGCATGAATGAGCTGTATCTAACGTGAGTTCATCCCCATCTCCCCAACACTATCCAGTTTAGAGGTCCATCCCCTATCTTCCCCTAAACCGCGGAGTACATCCCCCATCTCCTCCTCTACACATAACGTATACAAACACATTGGTTCTATATACAATCACTCAATACATATAGTTAATGTATTCTATCAACCGTCAAATTCCATGACACGTTCCATTGATTAGTTTTCGTTTGCCTAATCATCATGCATTGTCTACAACAATCACGACTATCCTCCACCGATAGCCCAAAGAAGTTATTTCTAAACAGAAAATAAATGCACAAATAGATATTCAATCAACATTTCATTTCGGTGAGTGATAAACAATTCAACTACACCCTTTAACCCCATACATTCCCAATCTCAACTTTCTTATTTCATAACCTCATTTCTCACGATTAATTAACCCAATTAATCAGAAAATGTAATTAGGGCATTTTCCATAATTAACATTACAACCCTTAAGGTCCCATTTTCATCAATGATTCAACATTTATTCCATTTCTCTATGCCAAACATGCATCTAGGTTTATTATAAATAAAACCCCAACTTTTGTAAAATTACACAAAAGCCCCAAACTTTCACAAAATTATCAAACCAACCCCAACATCTCAAAATACTAAAATTCAAAGACAAAATTCATAGAGAGGAGTAGGATATTCCTACCTCAAATTCGGAGCCCCAAGGGAGAAGATGACAAAACCCAACGTGCTCCAAATCCCGAAATTTTCAGATTAAAATGTAGCCATCGACGATCAACAACTTTTTTGTTAAGGCCAAAGATGAACAAATCACTCCTACTAGATCAAAACCTAGAGAGAAGGTAGAGTTCTAGAGTGAGAGGCTCAACAATGGTGTTTTTGGAAAAGTAGGAGAGAGAAGAGAAAGTGAAAAAGTGATTTGAAAAGTCAAAACTCGTAACTTAAACCCAGTCGCCCCGCTCGAGCGTCCAAACCCCCGCTCGAGCGGCACTCACAGACTCCCGCTCGAGCGGCCAAACTCCCGCTCGAGCGCCGGATGCACTCTCCCAGCATCTCGACACAACAGGTCCCCGCTCGAGCGCTCGAAGCCCCGCTCAAGCGTCACTCACAACCTCCCACTCGAGCGGCCAATCCCCCGCTCGAGCGTCCAACACTGCACCGGAAATACTGGATGGGTGTATTCCCCGCTCGAGCGTCAAACTCCCCGCTCGAGCGGACAAGCCAAAATCTGGGCAACTAGTTTTGGTTTCTAAACTCAACCAACCTGTAACAAACCTGCCCAACACATCCTATAACTCAAATACAAAGTAAAAAAAAAAAAGGATGTAAACAAGATAACGATCAACTACCAACATCCACGGACACATGTCCGGATCACTATGCAACAAGGGCAAATCCGGGATCGCTATAACAACATTGAAATTCATAATTGCTCTCCTATACAATAATAAAATTACTCAAATTATTAATCGAAACATATTTCTAACATCATCAAAAACTGTTAATTAACTTGATGATTTATTAATAAAAAGAGCGATTTGTTATAAAATTAGAAACCTCAGGGGTGGAATGTAATTTCCAGAACCACAAGAGCGATTCGTATTTTAATCAAATCTCAGGGGTGTATTTGTAATTTACCCTTTTCTAAAAGACCAAATTAAATGAAATTGTGTAGTTACGATTACACCTTGTTTGGTTTCCAGTTTTCCAAAACGCTTTTCAGAAAATTCTACTTTCTTATTTTCCGTATTTTTTTGTTTTTATTGAATTTTTTTAATATTTTAAGCAATTTTGTTACTTTTTAGACACACCTAACATAAATACACCTAAAAAGTAAAAAAATTGTAAAAAAAATCTTTGAAAAATTCACTAAATACCAAAAATACAAAAAAATGCAAGAATTCAGTACATTTTTTGTATTTTTATGTATTTATTAATTTTTTAAAATATTTTTTCACAAATTTTTTACTTTTTAGATACATCTAAGTAAGGTGCATCTAAAAAAGTAAAAAAAATGTTTAAAATTTAAAAAATATTCACTAAAAACAAAAAAACACAAAAACCAAAAAAGTCAATTTTCAAAAAACTTAATCCAGAAAACTCAAACCAAACACAGTGAAATATATCTCGAATAGTGATCTTATAAACTGTTTGGTCTAGGGGTGAGCTACGGAGATTCCAACCCGCCCAAACCGACCGATCCGATCCGATCCGCCGCATTTTGGACGGATGCGTGATGTCGAGCAGATGGTTGCAGATTGATTCTTTCAAATTCGTCTAATTTTGGATGGATGACGGATTTGAAGTTCCTTTGGCCACAACCGAACCGCCAAACCGCGAGCACTCCTAATAATTTGTAAGATTTTGTATTTTTAATTTGTTTAGATATTCTGTTTGTATTTTCAATTGAAAATGAGTTTAGATATTTTGTTGTGTTTTCAATTTGAAAATCCTTTTATCAAATAGTAATGGTTGATATTTGGTATTTTTGTGTGGAAAATATAAAATTTAATTTTGTCATTTAAAAAAAAAATCAAATTAAATAGTTTTTGAATAAAAAAAGTAATGAAATAGTTTTAATAATAGTTGATTTTCTTGTATGTATTTATTATTGATATTTGATAATTTACTTGATGATCTTTTAGTTATGTTGAGTTGGATTATTATCCAAAAATATATACATATATATATATTGACAAATTGTTGTATTATGTTCAAAATTTGTAAAAGTTTAAACTGCCAAATCGATTTGCATCCATCCGCCAATCCGCATCCGTCAATTCAGCGAACGGATGTGGATTGATTTTTTCCATTCCAATCTATCCATCCGACGAACGGATGGCGAATTAGAGGTTCTTTAGCCACAATCAAACCACGAACACCCCTAGTTTGGTCCTCTATTTTTTCTTATAGACCCAAAAGTCTCATTCTAGTGTGAATTATATAAAGGGCCTAGTATAAACGCGCGTATGTTATGTGTTGAGGGACACATGTGAGTTTTCTCATAATGTTGAAATTACTAAACGTAACACTTCAAAAAAAATTCCTTAGTTTACTTTTCCTAAACGTAACATTCCAATATAACACTAAAAAAAATATAAAACTCTAATGTAATATACTAAAAAACTCTTTAGTGTATTTTTTTTCAAACTTAACAATGTAACATTATAAAAAACTTCTTAATGTACTTTTTCAAAACGTAACAATCCAATTAATGTAACACACAAAAACTCGTTAGTGTGCTTTTTTTAAACATAACACTCCAATATAATACACCAAAAACCTCCGTAGTGTACTTTTCTCAAACATAATAATGTAACATTTCAGAAAAACTCTTTTGTATATTTCTTTTCCAAATTTAAAACTCCAATCAATGTAACACACAAAAACTCAGTGTATTTTTTTCAACTGTAACACTCTAATGTAATACTAGAAAATTACAGTAACAGAAATGTAGATTTTCATACTTAACAACCAACACATTAGCCACCAATCCCTCAAAAAGGAATATTCCACAGCTCACATTTCTATTCTCATACCAAAAATGAGTCAAAAAATTGAAAAAATGAATCACAAAAGAATATTCACTTAAACTCAAATGACACCAAATAAAATAAATATAGCTTTTTAAAACAAAAAGGACTAATTGGTTCATAAAAAACTCTTAAGACTAAATGGATCAACATTCTCTTACATGGGATTTATGAGTAAATTTTCTTTACGATTTATTGAATTAAATTATATATATATATATAAACTATACAAAAAAAAAATCTAAAAAATAACATGTTAAATCACCAAAATAAGATACCACAGATCTAATTGTTTTGGACTGGACTTTTTCCAAAATGTACCTCCACTCCAATTCAGTGAAAATATTAATAAAATGATAACATGTAAGTTTTAAATAAATAAATTTTTTTTTAAAAGATCACATATTTTGTATGTATCACTTTTTTTAACGTTAATAAAATTCTTAATAAAAAAATAAATTTATTTTGAGGTGGAAAAAAAAAGAGCATATATTGATAGAGGTAAAAAAAAAAAAAAAAATTAATGCATCAAAAGCAGAGAGTTCACTGTGAAAAATGTTTCACATCCACATGCAATCATACATTGGGAATTTATTTATTCTAAAGTTAAATACAACATTCGATTCCAACCAAAAAAACAACAAAATAAAGGTTGAACCACCTTGGCGCTCTCTGATCCCATTCGATTCAGTCAACTCAACAAATGACTTGATTCACATGATTTTCTGTTTTTAAATTTGGCCAAAGCTATATAAACTTATTTTTTTTATCATATATTTTAATCAATTAATAATAAATTATTTTTAAATATAAATAGAATTACATTAATTTAGACAATATATCAACACATATCTATAAGCACAAAAATTAACGCAAAAGAAAGCCCATAATAAAAGTAATAACAAACTTGTTAGCTAAAAATTTCTCAAGATTCATTTGGTTACTTTCTTACCCAGGCCAAGTATACTTCTGATCTCTTGGCTCGTGCTGGCCTTACCGATTACAAGACTGCCACTACTCCAGTTGATCCTCAGACTCGTCTTACACCTCTTGATAGTTCTCTATTGTTTGATGCCACTTTATATCGTCAGCTAGTTGGCAGTCTTGCCTATCTCATGGCTACTTATCCAGCTATTGCTTATGCTATTCAGATTGTCAATCAATTCATGGCTGCCCCCCGCTCTCCACACTATGATGCTCTGGTTCGCATTTTGCACTATCTTAAAGGCACTATGTTTCATGGTCTTCACTATTCTGCTCAGTCTTCTCTACAGCTACATGCATTTTCTGATGCAGATTGGGCAGGAGATCCTACAGACCGTCGTTCCACTACCGGGTTCTGCTCCTTCTTGGGCAACTCTCTCATTGCTTGGCGTAGCAAGAAGCAAAATCTTGTTGCTCGTTCTAGTACCAAGGCTGAATATTGTGCTCTTGCTGACACTATTCAAGAGCTTGTGTGGCTTCGTTGGCTTCTTTCTGATATGGGTGTTTCTCATTCTGCTGCCACCAATCTTTATTGTGACAACTAGAGTGCTATTCAAATTGCACATATTGATATCTTTCATGATTGCACCAAGAATATTGAGATAGATTGTCACTTCATACGCTAGCATGTTACTAGGGGCAATGTTCGTCTTCTCTTTGTTCCCTCTGCTGATCAGGCCGCCCACCTTTTCACCATAGCACATCCTTCAAGATGCCTCTCTGATCTCCTCTCCAAACTCAAGTTGATATTTGCCTTACCACCTTGAGCTTGAGGAGGGGTGTTAGCTGTATACTTATCTATACCTATACTTAGGATTCTTGTACACTTGGGTTTCTTGTACACTTAGGTTTCTTGGCTTATATATACAGGCTTCTCCTATTATATTGTATTAATTCATTAATACAGTTTATATAATTCTCTCCCTCTCTCTCTCTCTCTCTATTAATCTTTCAAAACTCAATATAACAAAAAAATTCATAATAAAAGAAAAATAATTGTTATTTATCTTCAAGTTGATCCCAGACCCAATATCTCTATATGTTGTTCTCTATATGTGGATAATATATTTAAATTTTAAGTAATTTTTTGATAAGTAACATTTTATGATAAGTTAAAACTACAATAATAAGATAACTAACGTTTCACATCTATATACAATGAATATCACAGAAAAAATATGAAGTCAAATGTATATGTGAGTACAATGAGTTTCACATTAGAGGAAAACATACATCTAGCTAGTGGATTCAGATCATTTCAATTCCAAAATGGCATTATTAATTTTTGAGAGTTGCATTTAGAGGCACCTGAGAAGGTCAAATTAAGTAGAACATACATATCCTTGTAAACTCCTTGATAGATGTGAGGTAACTCTGCAAGATACTTGACAATGAAAGCACAAGCAGAGCTTGCAGTGTCATGGCCACCAATAAGCAAACCCAATATCTTATCTGCAATATCACTCTCCTTCATGAACTTGCCATCCTCATCCACCATGAGCAACATGCGGGACAATATATCTTGCGTTGGTGATGCTTTCCCCTCACTACAAGAATTTACACATTTGCTAACCACTTTTGCCGACCAAAAAAATTTTGGTGGCAAAAAAAATGACATTTGGCGACCAAATATTAATTAGTCGCGAATGATCATTATTTTTGGCGACCAAATATTATTGGTCGCAGAAGGTTATATTTTGGCGACCAAAAAATGAGTTGGTCGCAGAAAGTGGTATGCTTTTGCCGACCAACTACAAATTTGGTCGCAGAAGGTCACATATTTTTTGGCGACCAAAAATTTGGTCGCCAAAAACTTATTTTCAGCAACTAAAAAAAATTAGTCACCAAATTAGCACTTTTAGCGACTAATATTTTAGTCGCCGTTGATTGAGATTTGGCAACTAAAAAAATTTGTCGGCGAAGGTACCTTTTCTGTGACTAATATGGTCTTTTGGTCGTCAAAAGTTTGAGTGGGAAATTTGAAACGCAGAGGTGGGAATTGAAATTTTTGCACCAGGAAAACAGAAAAAAAATTAAAAAAAAGCCCTGTCCATCTCGCAAGCTCCATCGTAGGTCTTCGCTCTGTCCATCTTGAGCTCCATTGCAGATCAGTTAAGATCTACATGCTTCAGTAGATATATATCTCAAACTTCTTTGCTTCACCAGCACTCCAGTCTACCTCTCTGTCTCTCTCTCTCTATATATATATCTATATCTATATGTAGAGAGAGAAAACACATAGTAGAGAGAGAGTAAGCAAAGGTACAGATCTAGATCTGTGGCGTGTGTGAAGATGAACTCCATTGTAATGGCATCAAAGATCTTACTGACTGCAGTCTTCGTCTTCGATGTCATCGCCTTTGCGTTGGCTGTTGTTGCTGAGCAGAGGTGAAGCACTGTGAGCTCTGTTCCAATGGAGTCAACTTTATCTGTAACAACAACAACAACACTCTTTATTTGTCGTCTACACCGTCCGATTCATTGCCAATCCGTGTCTCTTCAACTCACACGACCTTTCAATGGCGAGTCTCAGAGATCAAAAGCATTGAATTCGATCTCTCATTCCCTAAATTCGCTCACGACTTTGTGTTCTGTTCGCTCTCGCTTGCACTGTGCTGCTTCGCTCCCTTCCGCAGCCAGCGGTGACACGGTGATTTTGATTTGTCTCTTTTCTCCCTCTTTGTTTCTTTTCTCCACGTGATTTTGATTTGTTCTTTATAATACTCATTCAAAGGTTCCGATCACTTTTGAAACTCATAATCTGTAATGGGACTCTTTTGTTTTGACCGATCAATTAGTATTTTTGGGTTTAGATCCTTTGTTGCAGATCGTTCTTGTTTCATTTCCAATTTTGGGAATCTGATTTGGGTTTTGTTGAATTTTTTGTTGGATGATTGTTTAAAGAATTTTAATAAATTATTCGATGAATTATCCCATTTATGATGTAAATATCTGGTTGTGGACAATTTGCTTAATCGTCGGAGGAAGGTATCCCCTTTTATCAATATTGAAATTTGGAAGCTTTTTAGAATGTTTTGGGTTGATTATAATAAGTTTGATTTCCCAAAAAGATTTGCTCTAAAATTTTGGGTTTTGAATTACCTCAAGAAGGGTGAGATCCGATTACTGGATTGATGGCTTGTTTGCATTATCTATGTAGAGGTTTTGCTTCAAATTTCATTTCATTACTTGATAGGCAGTGACACGGTTGGCCCTATTTAATGCTTCTTATTTTGATAAATGTTTCTCATATTTTACAAGTGAAGGAATAGGGAGGTCTGTTTGCATTCTTGTATTAAGAAGGCATTTGGGTTTTGTTTCTAGAAGAGAGAGGGGACTGACTCGGGGAGTCAGTGTAACTTCACGGGCTTAGTGTCCTCTCTCATCATCCTTCTTTATCTTGTTATTATTGCCACAAGGGTTATTTTCTTGATGTAAATGCTTAGCAGAGTTGGGTTTTGTTATTGAGCTTGGAGCACTAGGTGGAGGGTTTTATTCTATTAAGATAGGTTGACACTGGTGATTTGGGTGGAGGATGTGTAGCGAGCGTGAAGAGAATTTTGGAAAGCCAAGTCAGTAGGATGTATACATATATATATATATATATATATATTGTCATCCTTCTTGTTCTGTATATTTTCTAATTTCTCTATTTGGTTGCCTACAAAATGTTCCCTCTATTTATATAAAGGGGAAATTAGTGTTCAGTGTAAATTTAGAAAAAATAATTTATATATTAGGGTTTTCTTATGATCTCATAGCAACAAATGAGGACGGTTCTGTGAAATTACAATCTTTGATAGAGTGCATACATGAGCGGGCCAAACATCCTCCTCTGAAGAAGTTTCTTCTAGTTCCAAGTGATTTTGTCAGTGCTGCTGGGCAGCTCAAATTGCAAATCTGCATATGGAGGTATCATGTTTTTCCTCACATCTAAGGAGGTGATTATGTCGTTTTAAGGTTATTGTAGATGTTGTGAACTTATAGTTCATTTCCCCTGGGAACTGACTTGGGTAATTGGGGTTTTTGTTTGTTTTTAAGTTAAACTTGCTTATTTTATTTATACCAGAAACCTTTTTATGCAGTAATTGTCAATTTTGATCTTTGCTTGACTGGTCGTGTGTCTCTTGGTGGCTGATAGTTTTTATTTTTGTTGGTATTTTTTGTTTCTTATTTTTCTAAGTGAAAGTAATTGGTGCAGAAATAAATTGCAGGAAATGTAAATGAGCCCTAGGAAAATTAGCACTGGAAATGATATGTGTGTGGGCTCACTGATTCTATTGATATGATTTGGTGTGTAACTTTGTGGTATGGTTTTAGCATTACTGTTTTGGTAGATGAGAATTGGGATAAACTAAGAACATAAAGCTCTTCTTTTTTATTAGATGATCTGCATTTTGTTTTCAAGATATTCAGATACAGGGGAAAACAGCTTGAGGGCAAAATAATTGTCCTTGAATAGCTCTATATTGTGCATCTTTTAATATTGCATTTAAATTGAGAAATTATTTAAAGCTCTTGGAGTAAGTTTAAGTGATACTTCAAATTGATAGATATTGGATTGAATGTTTATAAACAAAAATTGATTGTTCTCCCAAAAAAATTAGGTTCTCTTATAAATGCTGATAGTGTTTCACAATTGAAGAGTGCTGTATGGAAAGAACGGCTGGAAGGTTATTCTCTCTCCATGTCCAATGTTTATACTTAGTTTTTCTGATTTCTCTTGAACATGTACCATGAGTTTTGGTGATCATGAAAGGAAGAATGAAAGAGCGTCAAAGTTTATGACGCTGGGTTTACCACTGTATGGAACGTCACTTGTGCCATTCCTCGAATTTATATGCTATGTTATTGCCTATTGGGAAATTGGAAAGTAAGAAAATATTTATTGTGCTGAAGGGCCCACTTTAGGTGAATTGCAAATTTTAGGTCATTTAAAGGGAATGGAGCTTTAATAGTTAACTATGCCTGAATAAGTTCCTGTTAGGTCTTCAATAACTCATCATTTGTAAGATATGCTACCTAGAGAAGTAATTAGTGTCTGATATAACTGCTCAACCTCCAATTAGCAATCATTGAATTGTATTTGTGTTGGAGTAGGATTTGACAATGACACCTAAAAGGAGGATAAAAATTAAAATATTAGTACTTTAATAGTGGAACTATTAAGGTTCTTATCTTTTGGTTGCGCTTACCGAAAAGAAAAAAAAATTGCAATGGCATGCTGGCAAAGTATACATTATCGGTTTAGTCTCTTGCCCAAAATTGTCTCTCATGACCTTCTATGTTCAGAGGAGATGTGTGTCACATGTCTATATACGGTGGTTGTGGTTTTGTTAGAAGTTTGCATGTTTTGCTTTGGTGGTACTGGTTCAGCAAGTTAACTTCATCTTTTTATATTGATTATAGTATCGTAAAGTGGTTGGACTTTGTCCCCTAATTTTTATGTCTCTTTGATTGCACATAGTTTATACCTTTTTAGTTTTGCACATGTTACAAGTGTTTCACTTCATGCTTGAATGTATAGTGAGTAACCCCCCCTGTTGCTGCAGCCATTGTCTCACTTAAAGAGTAGGCGGAGGGGATACAGGTATTTAACTTTTTTGCTTATCTTACTGGCAGGGTTGTTATGGCTGTTAGCTTATTAATCATCGTGTACTGAAATTTGCAGGTACAACAACAGGTTATTGATGTTGTCACTCACATAGCTTCTACTGCATCCAAGTTTCCAAAAAAATGTGTTGTTCTTTGCCTACATGGTAAGTAATTAGGTTGTTAAACATCCAGGAGTAATGTTGGTTTCTAGGGGCTTGATTGCTCAGCTAGTTGTCTCTAACAAATCTGGCTGGATAACTTTTTTGATTAAGTTGCAGTTTTATTATGCCAGCTAGTTGTCTCAATATGATGTACATGTTTATAGGATTTAATTGATTTTTGCAAAGATACGGGTTTGCAATCCAGTGTTGCTGCCACTAGAAATGCCACTATTAAACTAATTGGTGCTTTACATAAGTTTGTTGGTCCAGGTAACTTGTCATTTGGTTTGTGAAAACTAGGGATATGTTGAGTTAAGGATAAGAATTCTAAGATGCACCTGTTGTTGCAGACATCAAGGGATTTCTTTCAGATGTCAAACCTGCTCTTCTAAGTGCACTTGAAGCTGAGTGTGAAAAAAAACCATTTGAGGTATGGTTGAGTTGGGTTCACTATTTTGTTCCTGGTTGTTTCTTATTTTGGGGTTGTTTATAGCTCTAATTGCTTGGTTTTGCATTTATATATAGGATAAATCAGCAGATGTTCGTAAAGCAACTGAAGTATGCATTGGTGAAATTTTCAAAGTCTGTGGTCCGGATACAGTGTGTAGACAAAAATTTTTGGTGCCTCCTTTGGTTTTTGTCAAAAAACTAGCAAAACTCCTGAGTTTATTGTCTTGTTACATGACTAGGTGACCAAGAATTTGAAAGATATTCAAGGACCTGCCTTAGCTATTGTTCTTGAACGACTAAAGCACTCTGGGGCTTTTCAAGGTATGTTGTAGTGAAGTTTGTTGAGGTTTTATTATCTTTGTTCGGTAGTGCTATTTCATAGTGACATAATTTTTCTTTGTTCCCAGAAACATTTGAAGTGGCTAAAACAATATCGATGGGGCCATCATTGAAAAGTGGATCAAAAGTTGGGAAATCTAGCTCTAATGGTAATGGTGACCGACGGGCTGGAAATAGGGCTGTTTCTTCGGTATGTTCTTACCCTGTTTAAGTTATTTTCTTTTTGAACAATAATAAAGATATTGATTTTTTTCATGGTTTGGGTAGAGAGTAACTTCAATTAAGGGTTCAAGGCCAGAATCAATCATGTCTGTTCACGAACCAGACGAGCACCCTCCCCAACATATTTTTTAACAAGTTCACGAAACTAAATTGTACAAGACTACTTGGCAGTATAAGCATCTTTTGGAGGATTAAATATTTTTGGATTGATGTGTATGGATAACAAATATTAGTAGTTTTATTTGTTGATAGTTGCGCATGGATAACAAATAGTTATGTTTCAAATTGTTATGCTAGATGGATGTGACTGGTGAATAAAAACTTAGAATAGTTGTATTGTGTCGAATGTTAATGAATTATGTATTGTGTCGAATGTTAATGATTCAGTTAATTTGAATGATGCTTTAAAATTATAGGTTTATTATGGATTGAATGAATTATTAGGAATTACAGGTGTATGGTTTTCCTGCTTTGGCGACCAATTTATTAGTCGCGACAAATAAATATTTTTTTTTCGCAAAAAATGACAATTGCCGACCAAGAGTTTTAGTCTGTTAACTGTATACTTACCTATACATATACTTAGGATTCTTGTACAGTTGGGATTCTTGTACACTTAGGTTTCTTGTATACTTAGGTTTCTTGGCTTATATATACATGCTTCTCCTATTATATTGTATTGATTCATTAATATAGTTTATATACTTCTCTCTCTCTCTCTCTCTCTCTCTCTCTATTAATCTTTCAAAAATCAATATAACAAAAAAATTCATAATAAAAGAAAAATAATTGTTATTTATCTTCAAGTTGATCCCAGACGCAATATCTCTATATGTTGTTCTCTATATGTGGATAATATATTTAAATTTGAAGTAATTTTTTGATAAGTAACATTATATGATAAGTTAAAACTACAATAATAAGATAACTAACGTTTCACATCTATATACAATGAATATCACAGAAAAAATATGAAGTCAAATGTATATGTGAGTACAATGAGTTTCATATTAGAGGAAAACATACATCTAGCTAGTGGATTCAGATCATTTCAATTCCAAAATGGCATTATTAATTTTTGAAAGTTGCATTTAGAGGCACCTGAGAAGGTCAAATTAAGTAGAACATACATATCCTTGTAAACTCCTTGATAGATGTAAGGTAACTCTGCAAGATACTTGATAATGAAAGCACAAGCAGAGCTTACAGTGTCATGGCCACCAATAAGCAAACCCAATATCTTATCTGCAATATCACTCTCCTTCATGAACTTGCCATCCTCATCCGCCATGAGCAACATGCGGGACAACATATCTTGCGTTGGTGATGCTTTCCCCTCCACCTAGTCAATCTTTCTTTGCTTGATGATTCTCATTTGGAACTCCTTTCTGATGTATTCGGACGCCTTGATGGAGCGATGAAACGGTGTCCCTGGCAAGTCCACTGGGATTGACACTAACCCCTCTGACAAGAGCTTAATGTTCCAAGAATCTATCAACTTCCTTTGGATCTTCTATGCTAAGAAACAATCGACATGCAATCCAGAATGTGTAGCGTTGGGTGAGTGGGTAGACCACAAGGATCATGTCCTGTAAAATTATATGCAACAACAAAATTAATAATTATTTAAATAAAAATTATTGTATTTATTTATTCATAAATACAGATGGACAATAATTTAAGTACAATTATACTTAAAAATAGATTTATATGCTTTTAATATGAGTCTCGGTATAATAGATTATGACATTCTTCTCTGTAAAATTTAATTGTCGAGGTATTTAACTAGTCTTTGATAGTCCGCAAATTAAACAATACAATGCAAGAAAATAACTCCAATTATTTACTTTTATGTGCTTGCAAGGAAAAAGTTTTGTGTATTAATAGGATACCAATTAGTATTATTCTTCCACCACTCACAAATATGTATGCTCCTTAATGTTTCTCAAACATTCAACAATATAACCCATATTCCATTACGTTTCACCAATGGTAATAGTAAAATGTACCGCATGAATATATTCTATCCACGTATAAAAATCACTCGCTTGCAAGGGTACAATATTTATTTTCCAAATTACTTTGGCTTTTTCTGTCAATCTTGAAAGTCATAGATAGAAACACGCCATCTTAAAAGTAGTTGGGGGGGTATTATATATAGATAGGATATATATTATGTGGTATTTTTTTATTATTGTGATTAGTTTTGACAATAAAGTCTATTACATTTATGTTAAGCATTTGGAAAATAATAGAGAATATATACATTTGTAATTGGTAAAAGATAATGTCACGTGGTACCTTATTAACCTATAAAAATTTCTCTCGATGTTGACTTTAAGAAAGAATTGTGACACTCGCCATTTAATAAATTGGGCCAAACTTCTCTCCACTTTGTGAATTGGGCGATATTATTGGGTTTATGGAGTCTATCATGATTTCTATTTCAATAATCTAAATCGTTCAATGTATAGAACTCGTCGAGTATTTTATTCTTGTAAAAAATCACGTTGATCAACTATCAATAGCTATTTGATCGGATTAAATTTCTGTCAATGGTAAATATAATTTTCAAAATAAATTGTTGACAAACAATGATTCGATCAAGTAGCTATCAATATTCGATTAACGTGACATTTTACAAGGATAAAGTACACGACGAGTTCTATACATTGAACGATTTAAATTATTGAAATAGAAATCGTGATAGACTCCATAAACCCAACAATATCGCCCAATTCACAAAGTAGACTAGAGACCAGCCTTGCCTAATAAATTCTTAATAGCAAATAGCAGTTGAAAAGAAGACATTTTGCACTTTGTTTCCTTCTTTAAACGAAAAGATTGTTTATTATTATTATTTTTTTGTCTTAGCAAATTTTTTTTTTTATATTTAACTTATTTTTTTAAAAAAAATTAACCTAATCTAAGTCCACCTAAAAAAAATAAAAAATCAACTTTGAAAAAGAAAATTCAAGATTTTTTTTTTGTTAATTATCTTCAAGTTAGTATTTTTTTTTTCTCTCTTTTAAGTTAAAATCTACTTAGCTTTTTTTTCTTTCTTTTTAAATTAAAAAACTCTTAAAGTTGAGGGGTTTGTTGCGTGGTTGTGAGCAGCAAAGCAATAGTAGGGGAGTTTTTATTCTTTTTTTTTTTTTTTGGTACATCAGAAATAACAAAGGACTAATCTCCATCATTCCCATCCAGGTACAGCATATCCGCAACTAAAGCATGGCGGATTTCTTCTCGTGGATCATTTACAATAAACAAGTCAAGTGGTTGATTAGCTCCTAATTTAGCTAAAGCATCAGCACAGATATTGCCGCCTCTGCGGACATGTTGGATGGAGCAATCACATCCCCTTAGAATAATTCTTGAATCTTCCACAATTCCTCAGAAAGGGCATTTTTCACCGAGTTCTTCATTCAACAGTTGCACTACTTGCTCCGCATCCGTCTCGATGATTACTTGATTCATGCCTCTTTGTAGGATGATTATGAGGCCTTTGTATACTGCCCAGAGTTCAGCCTCCAAACTAGTGCACCTCTCCAACCTGTCATAATATCCGCTGATCCACGTTCCTTTCTCATCACGAAACAAGCCTCCAAAGCCTCCATTGTTATGCTTGCCTTTGAGGCTGCCATCTGTATTAAGTTTAGTTCTTCCTGCAGGGGGACACAACCATATAACTGAGCTTTTGATTTGTAAAGGTGCTGTAATAACAAAGTTAAAAGCTTGATTAATTTCTTTAGAATAATCAAAAATGGTTTTCACACTTGCTTGGCAGCTCAGCTGTTTATTATCAAAAATTAATTTGTTTCTATTTTTCCAAATAATCCATAGTGTGATAACAAAAAGCTGAGGTTGAGAGCTTCTCCCTTTCCCATTCAATCTAATCCAAGCTTTAAAAGGAATTACGCTAATTCTCAAGTACCAATCTGGGTTAAACACATGCTGCCACACACTCACTACTTTGGGACAGACCCAAAGCAAATGGTCAAGGTCCTCCATTGTGTCACAACAGGAGCAATTGGGATTTTCAGCAAAGCCCCTCTTGTGCCTCAGCTCATTAGTCAGGATTTTTCCATGCAGAATTAACCACCTAAAACTCTCAAGTTTCTGAGGAAGCTTTAGTTTCCAAATCCAATTCCAATCACCCTCCAAAACTTGAGGTTTCATAATAAGATCATAGGTGAAGAAGTTTTATCAACTATCCATCTTGATTAAAGAAGAAACGTATTACATCAGTATATATATGTACAAATAACCAGCTGCACTAACCAACCACTAACCACACACTAACCAACCACTAACAAACACACACTAACCATACACTAACAAACTAACCACTCCTCTTAACAAACTCTGTAACAGACTCTGTTATCTGTTTATACAACTACTATACAGTGTAACTAACATACAGCAACTATACAGCAGCTAATGCTGATGATATATCTTTATCAGGCCCCCTCAAACTCAAGGGAGCAGAAGCAACTCTGAGTTTGGAAGTGAGAAAAGAAAACCGAGAAGTCGATAATGGTTTAGTAAAAATATCAGCAAGCTGTGAGGCAGTAGGAACATGATGCAGAAGCAATTTATGAGCTTGAACCTTGTCGCGAACAAAGTGGCAGTCTACTTCGATATGCTTAGACCTGGTATGAAACATAGGGTTGATAGCCAAAGCAAGGGCAGATTGACTATCACACCAGACAACCGGAATAGAAGATTGAGGAATGGAAAAATCTTGAAGCAGCATTTGAAGCCAAGTGAGTTCGGCAGTGGTATTAGCCAGCGAACGATATTCGGCTTCAGTCGATGATCTGGAAACCGTGGGCTGTTTCTTAGAAGACCAAGATATGAGATTATTACCCAAAAAGATACAATAGCCGGAGGTGGAGCGTCTGTCAATATGATCGCCAGCCCAATTGGAATCAGTGTAGGCATGAAGCTGAAAAGAGCTAGGAGTGAAGAGAAGACCATGAGATAAAGATCCTTTAATATAGCGCAGAATTCTTTTGACAGCAGAAAAATTTCCAACTGTGGGAGAATGCATGAACTGACAAGCTTGATTGACTGCATAGGACAACTCA